TATTTTTTCCCCGTTTAATTTGCAGTATTTTAGCTTAAAGATTTATTCGTGGATTTTTAGTTTTTGTTTTTTGAAGTTCTTAAATTGGTTTGATTACATGTTTAATTTGAAACTTATGTTTATTATGATATTATAAGAATATAAAGTAGACGTATGAAATATTTAAGTCCATACCTATATAGATACAAAAGTGCAGGAGTGGCAGAGGACATCCTGCAAAATATTATGGAGCACTAGATACTATGATACATTTTACTAAAAATGCTTATAAAATTATAAATAATAAATAATTATTACCTATAGTTTAATACATCGTAATATATATTATATTATGATGCTTATTAAAATAAGGTATACATGTTATTTTAAAAACTTGAAAATATGTTATTCCGATGAGAAATTTAGTATAAAACTATTAAAACTACATTATATTTTTATTTTTGGTAAATATATATTATGTTATTCACGAATTTGTAAGCATGCTTAAAATTGTACGCTTAAAATCAATAAATTTATATCAAAACAATGTTTCCAGGTTTATCAATAATTATTATTATGGTGTAAAAAAAATATCACCCTGTATCCCGATATATACAATAGCTATTAACTTTATTCAATATGTACCTATATAATATAATATTATACCAGGTATGGTATGTGTTATTATGATTACTATTATGGTGTGTATAATATACCAGTGGTGGTGGCGGTGGCGTCTGATTCCGCTAACGAGGGTATCGCGTGCCTTGTCCGGATATATGCTGGGTTTATAGGTATACCTAGGTATATATAGGTAAATAGGTAAATGTTGTTTTTTTTTTACAAACAGACAGGACGGCAGTGGAGTGGTGGTGGATGGTGGTGGTGGAGGTAGTGCGATGGTGGTGGCGTCGCGGCGGCAGCGCACCGCCGGAACGTTAATCTGATTAGTGCAAAAGAATTAAAAAAAAAAAAATTAAAAACTTTCGTATTTTTTATTTTACAACGATTATGTGTAAGTATATACATGATGCTCGAGGCAATAAAAATGTTCGTTTCAGAATCGTTAAGCTCTCTCACGAGCGCAAAGCAAAATAAATATATATATATATATATTATATACCTATGCATTATACGCTTGGTTAAGGGCGTTTAAAGTTAAAGTTAATGTATAGGTATAATATACTGCGAACCTATACATATCATATACTTCTACCCACTGGCACAATAAAGGTAACTGGCGAAACGTTTAATTATACCACGGTGGTGAGCCGACGTCGGTCGTTATAATAATTTAATATATATATATATTAACTGGTTAAAGTATATATATACCTACTAACGTAATTTAAAAAGGAAAACTGGAAAAATGACTGCAGACTTCCGGTGTAAGTAATAGGTATATTATTGTGAATGTAGGTATACATTTAACATAAACTAGTGGATTGATTTTTCTTCTAATTCGCCAATCAAATATCATCGCAGACCGCAGTAATAATTTATGCGATTCAATATTGAAAACATATTATACCATCTGTTTAACATGACGTATTTTATTAAACTAGAATAATAATTGATTGTGATATTGTTTCATGCAACCGTCTATAGTGTTGATTAGTGCATGCAAAGTGTAGATAAAGTTGTTATTGTAATACGATTGATTTTTTTAATTTTATAAACCATAAATGTATATATACAATAATAGAATTCATCCATGCATTAGTGTAGCATCATAGACGTGAAAAATCTGTCTATTATATTCTATTCTGAATTCTGAAAGCAGATCTACAAGTATAAGAATACCAATAATTATTTTTTTTTAGCAGTTTGGTTATATGCTTGGAATTTTTAACGTTTGAACACTTTAAGTTAGCAATTGGTTTTTTTTTTACCAAAGTAATGGAATAAATTCTAATGAATTTTAATCGTATATTTTCTAAGATTTTAAATTAATTTTTTATTTTTTGGGATTTATTTTCTACGACTTTAACTCGGTTATTGGTCCACAGCCCAAAAAATTATTATTTCAATATTTTATGTAACTTATAAGAGTGATTTAAAATTGTGTTAAATTAAAAAAAAAAAATGTTAACTGCAATGCATTTTGATTGACTATACCCGGATTTAAAGCATTTGATGATCTTCACAAATTATTCGTTCATTCCAGTAAATAATATATTAATATTTATTCTAGTCAGGCCTGAGGTAATTTCTTTTTATTTACCATTTGATCTGCTACAGCATGGTGTCAATTGACTTTAAAATTACTTATCTACGAACGCTCGATCTTGTGGTTTTTTACATGACTGGCATCGCCTGTACAACATTTATTTTTTGCCGTATTAAATTATGTTATAATGTTATTATTAAAGATATTATCTATATAATAATATATACACTTACCGCCTATAATACGGCTATATCGTTTTTATAGACCTCGCTGCACAGCCGCACGATATAATATTATTATATATTATACAGACAACAGCGAGACTTTGTCGATCTTGTCCATCCAGCTGTTGTATATCTTGACTCTTATATAATATATATACTCACATATAAGTATACTGTTAACTCGGGTCCTCTAAATACACCGGTCCGTTCATAAAAATATAATGTTTTCGATTTAATCGGCCCGGCTGTATAGTTCTCGTTATGTGCGATTAGTGGCGACAGTCAGAAGCCGCTTCCACATTTACGCCCAGCCTATATATATGCTATCGATTAACTTGTCAAAATCGTCAAAACGAAACTAAAATATTACCGTGCACGACAATGGTCGTGTATGTATTGAATAGTAATTATATAAATTTATAAAAAAAAAAAAAAAATACAAAGTCATTGGTCCATTTACAAAACACTTTTACTACAACACAACGATAATATCAAATTATTCTACACACGCATATACACGTCACATCATAATATATATATATAGGTATTTTATAATAATATTAACACCGGTTTGTGAGTTTCGATCAAAATCCTTCTTCTTCTTTCCACCGTTTGATTTATACCTGCCTTATATATTATTATTATTATTATTATTTTAGTTACTGCGGTGTGTTTCTCAATCGTGATATTATTATTATTATTATTATTATATGCTACTGCCACCGCCGACTGCGACGTGACGTTCGGTCGTTATCTTCGAGTGCACCTACATAATAATATTATATTCATACGATCGGCGGTAGCGTTTTTTGACGGCCGATTATTATGGTAATATCATTTTTTTTATGTTCGTCTGCAGTGTGGGGATAATATTATAACATTATAACATTTGCCTATACCTACCGTGGCCGATAAACATCTGGTTAATGCGATGCGGTCCGAATTAAAAGGTTTCTCAATGAAATCACTTTAAGCGTGATGGAATTTTTATTTCGTGGGTGGAGTCCGCGTAAATTAAGTGGTTATTTAAATCCAATAAAACTGTCGATTATTTTTTTATTCTCAGTAGGAGTATAATAATATTGTATTGTGTATACACGTCACGTGACCGCCCGTGTTAGATTTTATTAAATTAAAATAGAGGGAAAAAATGCGGTTGAAAACTTGTATTGTTGGGTGTGTAAGGCGTGTATTAACATTCAATAAAAGCTCGATTGCTTTGCATTATGTCATATTCTTATGATACATAATATTATGTTCGAATATACGCACGTTATATACGGAGGTAGGTATTTTAATAATATATTTTAATCTGTTCAGATTTAATTTATTATTAATTTAATGCTTTTAAACAGGAAATATATGGTAGAATAATGATAAAGAAAAAAACCGTTTGAGTCAATGTGTCTGTTGTACAAGAAAACGTTTACATGCCGGAGGGTTCTTGACTACTTGTATAATACTATGGTCGTACTAAAAAAAACACTTAGTTGACAACAACAATCGAAGTTATCCTATATAAAAACTCCGTTTTTTATATATTTGCAATTTTAACCAAAAGAGTAAACACATTAGGTATATTTTATTTTGAAATAAACGTAATCGACTTAGGTACCCCTTACAAATGTACAGTTAATTTGTTGAAAAATTATTACTCAACAATTAGGTGACTAAATGCATAAATTGTATACATTAATAATTATTTTATTAGTATGCGCGCATATAATAAACAAATTCTCATCTTGTTTATTGTTGTTTTATACTTTTATTATTAACTATTAAAAGTCATTTGATGGCTTTTAAAATAAACGTAATTATATTTTCTCTAAATACATCAAATCCTCAATTTAAAAAGCGAAATAACAGACACAAAGTGTAGTTGTAATAATAATTTCTACTTTTTAATTAAATTCCCTTTTTATTGCGTGTTATAATTATTATACTATGACATACAAAAGATCACTTTAAAAACATTTATAATACTTTAATTCTTAAAGTAATACTTAGATTTTCTTGATTATTTATTAACTTCTCTAATTTAAAATGCACATTTATTTAAATTTATATTACTATGAAAAATAGAAAACTTTTCGCTCCGGTTAAGTACCTAGATACTAGACAGTATTCTAGTATATAATATAATAATGGAGACCAAATGAATAATATAAAAAAATGTTCTCTTCAATGTCGAAACAAAAACATTGAACAATTATAACACTTATATTTATGTGTAATTATTACTAGTTATGACTATATACACAGATAGGTATTATTAATGTTGACGAGTTCAAACGCGTACAACATGCATTATGTTTGATAGGTTCTTGTGGTATAACTAATATAGGGGCCGTATTCATAGTTGATGCTTAATAAGTATGACTCAAATGAGTTTCATAAACTAGACTTTGGCTTAATAAAGGAAAAAGTATTACTTAAATTAAAGTTGGTGAGACTTACCTTAAGTATTACTTTTAGTTATTATCACATTTTTTTTTTTTTTAATTATCTAAATTAGCTTAAGCAATACTTATTCTTAAGCATCAACTATGAATACAGCCCATAGACTTGTCCACGTGATTATTGATTATACCGAGTAATAAAATTCATTTTGCGCACACTTCTTCTAGGAGAAAACAGCTGCAATTCTAGTGACACCGAGCAAAACCGTCATCAGCCCGTGCCGTCCGACCAACACAACATAATGCGCGGTGGCGGATGCGGAGGCGTCGGTGGAGGCGTCGGTGGAGGCGGTGGAGTAAGTGCCGGAGGAGGTGGAGGAGGAGGAGGAGGCGGAGGCGGAATAGGATGTGGAGGAGGAGGAGGCCCTCCGCAACAGCGTCGGTCAGCCGACATGGACGACATGAGCGGCGGTGGGTGCGGCGACAGCAGCGACGGCGAACCGGACGACGAGCAACTGTCCGGCGGCCGGGCGAGCGCGTCACCCGCGGCCGCGGCCGGTGGCATGTCACCACCCGACAAGAAAAAGCACCGCCGGAACCGCACCACGTTCACCACCTATCAGCTGCACGAGCTGGAGCGAGCGTTCGAGAAGTCGCACTACCCGGACGTGTACAGCCGCGAAGAGCTGGCCATGAAGGTCAACTTGCCGGAAGTCAGGGTCCAGGTGAGTCTTTCTTTGATTTTGCTTCTCACAGCAACCGTATATCGTATCCGCAGCCAATTTACTATATTATCGCATACGTATAGAGCCCCCAACCCCGGCGCGCCTGTTTGGAATTTTCCTATACCTAGGAAGGCTAAGAGTGGCAATAAGGAATCGCGATCCCAATATCTAACCTGACATCTTCTGCAGTATGATAATATAATATCATATATATTATTATGGTAAAACTATTTATACCACACTCTCGATCGGCATTTCTAAGTTGCGCAAAGTTAAAAAATTACCGCAATTTGTAAATATTATCTTCAGTGTTTTCATTAATTTTTGTCGCGGACATTTAAAAGAATAAAGTTGCAAGCGTGGTAAAGTCGTCGTTGTCTGTATGGTACATACTATATTGTAGCCTGGGCATTAAGGAATTAAGAAAATACATTGTGTTGCCAGAATGCTCATCTCATCGTTAGATGCCTAGATCCATCAGTACGTGCGTTGGAAACATTCTTGAACTATTTGTCGAGTGTGTGTGATGGAAAAATACAGCTTGGTAGAGTACCTCCGTATAAATTATATCCGCCATTTATCACTATGACACTATTGTTATTATGATGTTTGAATATTGTGTACACCTTGGTGTACATCTTGTACGAGTGTACCTACATAGCTGGTATATACCGATATAATAATATTATGTTATAATTATTTTACTATTCCTGAGTAGTGAGTACTACAACACTACATCAGTAAATAATATATGTATATAATATTTGAGGCGCCTAGAACACAAGGGGTATAAGCGACATTATTTGTATTTCGTAATAATTAAGGTCAAAGTTAACACATTCTCTCAAATTACAATAAAGGATATTGTTTAATTTAATTATTAAATTGTTATCTGTACACATCATATCAAATAATTCACCTATATCTCTTTACCACCAAATAAAATGAAAAATTCTTAGTTCAGCTGTGTACTTACCTCAGATTTTTTAAAAATGTCGCTTATACCCCTTGTGTTCTAGGCGCCTCATTTATATATATACTACACCACTACACCGCAGCATAATTCTAGAAATAATTGATAAAACAACAAATACCATGATGTTTAGTTCCCAAAAACGAATTCACAGTGAAATAAATTGTCAATATTGCATACATGCATTGCGATTTACAGATGATTAATTAAGTACTGAAAAACGATTAATTTGACCAATGCAAATATTCCAATTCCATATTATCATTAGTAAATTTTGATTTAACATTTTAACTCGAAGGTGGTAATTGGTGGACGTGGTTCATATTATATAAATTACATAAATAATAACACTTAATCGTTTTATGTTTCACTTCGTTTTACGTTGTGTAAACGTATTAACGAGTAATTAATAAATAATAATTATGATTATTGCGTGTCCCTTTATTTTTTTTCATAAGTTCTTATTGTAATTCCATAATCGTCAATAATCATAATATGACCATAGACAATAGACTTCTATATTAACTTACTAGTTACTACTGACGATATTTCATTGTTTTTTATCATTATCTTCGTTATCGAAAAAGTATTAAATACCATTTAATTGAATAGTTATAATACGTCTTGTTATGATACTAGCTGTTAGATTACTATTAAACTATTTACATTTCTGTATGTAGCAGTACAATTTTCTGACGTTATTCCCTGTAACATTCAATGTTTAACCAAATTAATTATGTACGATTGGACTAAATTCTATGAACTTCACTATTATACATTTTAATTATTAAACGAATTCTATGAATTATTTGAACCAAATGAATAATAGAAGAGTATTTATAATATCTAATAATTTACATACAAAATATTTATACAGTAATATATTGTAATTTGTAAAGTGCATTTTAATGAATCAAGGGATCCAATTTTCATCATAAAATCAACCTTGATATTTTCAGCCAAATATCGTTCGCAGTGTGAAGACAAACAATACAATTAATCAGATAAGTTTAACCCAAAAAAATTGTATTTATAAAATTGTTCTATAAACTTTTGTATCCATATAAATTATTTATTTAGGGTAAATATTATGTTTTAATCATAATTCATAATATAATATAGGCATATTTTTCTTAATTTAACATTACAATTTATTTGTAAATTATAAAACAAATGATATTAAATTAATACAATAAATAAAATTGTCATAAAACTAATAATAAATTAAATAAATGTAATACTCCAATAAGTCCTATAAAAAACTTTACCGGCAATGTTTAAGCTTTTTGAATTATTTAATTTGACAATGTGTTAAATTGTCAGACGCATCATTAATAAGACCAATATGAGTCAAAAGTATTGAGATTACAATAATTAGTAATAAATAAAGTATAAATTACTATAATAATATTATCACAATACAAACTATACGAGAGCTAACAAATATCAAATTACACATTTATTTAATAAGTACAAGGTAATAGGTATATTGTAATATTATGTAGGTACCATCAATCATCATTTAAAAATAAATGTAATACAGGTAGGTACATCGATATTTTGTGGTTTAAAATTATTTACTTGCTATAAATTATTATTAGTAGGTACCTATACTTTAATATCATATTACCATGCCAAATCAATGATATGTAAAATACAATATAGCCTTATTTTGAGTTTCCATAAATTTATAACAAATTATTATTATACTCCATGCTATAATATAATAAATATAATTTTCTTATCATACGAATTATAAAGAATTATACAAGATGATCCATTTAAGTGTTTACCTACCTAACCGTACCTATACGCAACATTACTATTTAGCTATAAGTATTTACTATTTATCTATTCGTTAAAAATGTTGATGTATTGAAAACAAATACTCCGAAAAATATTTTCATTAAAAAAAGTAAAAACTATAATATTACAAAAACGTTGTTTGCAAAGTCATAAAATGATGCAAAAATAATATTTTCAAAAAACTTAAAACTTTTCGAAATAATGATGTGTATTATACGTGGAACAACCTGTATACTATAAGATTCTTGTTATAATGGGCAAAAACAAAAAAGTCGATCCTGGACAAAAACATGTTATAAACATAACAAAATAATCAATAAATTACAGCCGACAAACGAACATTTTATCGAAACGTCACGTTCAAATAATAATTTAGGTTTATGAGCGCGTGGGGCAAGTGCGTGTACTTATTCAATTTTGTTTTATAATTAATACAATTAATAACGTAATAACTATATAATAAGTTGTAAACTGCGATTTGAATGAACCGTAAAACGTTTCTGATTGCAATCTGAAATCGAATTTTGTTATTTAATTATCTCCGCTTAATTGGCACTGTGATTAAATTATAGTTTGATTAGTCGAATATAGTTAACGTAGATTCAGAAACTCCACCGAGTAGACAAATATATGTCATATATGTGTGTGAGTATGTGCAAACACATACGCGTGTGCGTGTGTGGGCGATACCTCCTCAAGAGTCTTTATATAGTTAAATTATATAATGGATGTGACTATAATACGTTTGTCATTTAAATGCATCCACAAATAATATTCCTACCCTCTCTATATTTACGTTCGTCGCACAAAATAAGTATCGCCACCAAGTATTTCGTTCTGATATTTTTACCCACAGATATATCATTTTTATTTTTATTCGTCATATTATCCGCATTAGCTAATTATTCATATAATTAAATAATACATTTGATACCAGTACCAAATGCCGGTTCTTATGCAGACGAGTGAGAAAGAAATCATCGAATAAATAAAAATAAGAGCCACTATTACGCGTTCCACTCGGCGTTAGTTTATAGTGTTTTATATAAAAAAAGAAAACCGCGGGCTGCAATATTTACATCACAAGAATTCATTTTAGGACACGGTTTCAACTAATTCCGTTTTAGCTCAAGGAACAACAATAAAACTTTCAAACTACAAAGACAATCTAATTAATTGTATGATGTTTTAATAAAATATGATGAAATTATTACAGAAAAGTTCAATTATTAATAATATCGAGATGAATAATGTAATAATCACTGTTTGAATTGAATGCAAATATAGTTGTTTAATTTTAATCGCACTGCCAACCGTCATTACTTAATAAAACCCAAAATTATAATTTGAAAAACGTTTAGATTAAAAATATTTTTATCACGTTTTTACATTATCCAGATCACACAAAACCTGTGTAGGTATACATACAGACCCACACCAAAAAAATATTAAACAGGTGTCCGGATTGCATATTGTGTAAAACATTATGAATAGGTTCTAGCCTAATAGTCGTCTGAAATGGTCAGTAATCACATACAACACAATATAAAACACGTAAATCTTGTGGTTTAACCAGTTTTGGCGATAAATGACAGATTGAGCGATGTGTGAAAGCCATAGCATATAAATGTAAAATGTTGAATTTGACAATAACCAAAATAGATTTTTGATTTCACTTAACATCACTACCGAGTTAATTCCCAAAGTTCGGCTCAGACAATCCGGAAATTCTTTACAATACCATAATTGCTTGTATAGTTAGTTATCATAAAAAACTAGGGTATTACCTATAAAGGTATACTATCAGGGCCTGATTTATCAATTCATGGGCCCGGTACAATTTTCAATTTTGGGCCCCAAATTCATCTCTATACTTTCTTCAATGCTAAAATTAAATGAATGCATATTGTATTTTTAAATTAATTACATACACATGAGTAGTTAGATCATACAATAAAATTGTATTGTTAATAATTTGATTATATTTTAATATATAAGAATACTTTACAATTTTTTAATGCGTCTATAATTAATGTTTAATTCAAGTACCTAAGTATACAAATTAAAAAGCAAAAGTATTTTTTTTAAAAAAATTAGTATTATAAAATTTAGTATTTTTGATTATTACACTTATATATCAAAGTAAATGTTTTTAAATTGAATGTTTTATCGTAAGTCAAATTTGATTTCAGCTAATCAACTTTCACAAAAATTTCGATTC